GCACGTCTACAAGACCATATCAAGGCTACTCAATCCTTGAAAAAAATGGGGGAGGAGATGAAGGCACCAGTCCCTATTAAAAAGGCTAAAATTCAACGGCAGCCTGTGCTCCAGTCTTTAAACTACCAGGGCCATTACAGCAAAGCCAAGTGGAAAACCTCCCACAACAGTCCACAAAACTTCTCCCCGAAGAACCGATACAAGGACACCAACAGGAAGAACGGGCAAACCTACTCGCAGACCTACTACCGCAAGGGGGAGAAACAGAAAAAATAAATAAGGTATACCCATATGCAGGTAGGCTAAGTAATTTTTCAGAAAACTGGTCAAAAATAACTGAAGATAAGCAGATACTTGAGTGGGTGAAAGGGTACATTATCCCTTTTAAATGTAACCCTAGACAAAATTCAAGACCACGGGTTTGCATAAACTCCTCAGAAATGTATCAATATCGAGACTGTATATCTGAATTGCTCCAAATAGGGGCAATATCGATTTCGAACAAAAAAAAAATGAGTTCTTGTCTTCTTTCTTCTTAGTAGAAAAATCAAATGGCAAAAACCGGTTTATTCTAAATCTGAAAAAACTGAATGAGTTCATTGATGCTCCTCACTTTAAGCTAGAGGACTACAGAACAGCAATCAATTTGATTTCCAAAAATAATTTCTTAGCCTGCCTGGACTTGAAAGATGCATATTTTTTATTGCCTGTTGCAAAAAATTTCAGAAAATTTTTAAAATTTGAATTTGATGATATTTTATATCAATTCAATTGTTTGCCTTTTGGGCTCAATATAGCTCCTTACTTATTCACTAAATTGATGAAACCCATTTTGAAAGTACTGAGAAAAAGAGGTTTTCTTTCAGTAGCATATTTAGATGATTTGTTATTGATTGGAAAAACGAAATCTGAATGTATTCGTAATATTAGAGAAACTGTCTCATTGCTGACTAGCTTAGGCTTTATTATAAATTACCAAAAGAGCACTTTGACACCATCAAATGAACTCAAGTTCTTGGGATTTATATATTCTACCAAAAACCTAACTCTGAAACTGCCTTATGAAAAATCAAAAGATATTCGTAATTGTATTCAAGTTTTCTTGAAAAAATCCTATTGTAGGGCGATTTTGCAATGCTAGTAGGAAAATTAGTAGCAGCATGCCCTGCCGTTAAGTATGGCTTGGTATATGTAAAAACCCTGGAAAAATGTAAATTCCAAATTTTAAGAGCAAACAATTATAATTATCAAAAGACTATGTGCATATCAGTAGAAATCAGAACAGCTCTTCAATGGTGGTTGAAAAATATAGACAATGGTAAATATTTTGGTACAGTAAATGCTCAGGCGGAAATATTCAGTGATGCTAGTAAAACAGGATGGGGAGCAACAGTTGGAGGACTGAAAGCAAATGGTTTCTGGTCGAGAAAGGAAAATACCATGCATATAAATTATTTGGAACTGTTAGCAGCTTTTTATGGCTTGAAATCATTTACAAAAAATATGTCCAGTTGTTCATTACTATTGCGGATAGATAATGTAACTGCAGTTGCCTGTATAAATAAAATGGGAAGTGTTCAATATGATCATTTGGATAATATAACTAAAGCAATTTGGAAATATTGTGAAGAAAAGAATATATATATATACAGGCATCATATGTGAATACCAATGATAATACAGCTGATATTGAATCTAGGAGAACATCAAAGGAAACTGAATATCAATTGTCTGATAAAATATTCCAAAAAATTGTTAAGACATATGGAACTCCTGAAATAGACCTGTTTGCATCATACTTGAACATAAATGTGAAAAATATATTTCATGGAGACCAGATCCTGGATCTTTTACAGTAGAGTATTAGAGAAAATTAGGGAGGACAGGGCGACGGGGATATTGGTTGTACCTCACTGGCCTAGTCAACCATGGTATCCTCTGTTTAATAAACTCCTTGTACAAACTCCTTTATATGTCAAGCCTAATGCAAATCTTTTACTTTCTCCTTCTAGGGAACAGCATCCCCTCCATCATCATCTTTCCCTGGTTGTGGGGAAGTTATCAGGCAGGGCATGTTGAGACGGCAACTTCCCGAGTGTAGCGTTCCGCTGCTTGTAGCATCACTTTCCACAGCCACTCAAAAACAGTATAACTCCTCTTATAAATCTTGGTGGTTATTTTGTGAGAATGAAGACCTAGATCCTTTCACTTATACCATGGAGAACTTGATGAAATTTTTAACTATGAAGTTCAATGAAGGTGCCTCCTACTCTGTTTTGAATACAACTAAATCGGCACTGTCCCTCATACTAAACATTAAAATTGAACATCAATCGATTCTAAAGAGATTTCTAAGAGGTGTTTATAATACCAGACCAAGTCAACCTAAGTACCTGTTTTCATGGAATCCAACACCAGTCTTGACTTCCTTAAGCAAATGGCATCCTTTGCCAACACTAAAACTAGAGGAAGTAACTCTCAAATTGGTTACTTTAATGGCCCTAACTTCAGCACATAGATGTCAAACATTAACCAAAATTAAATTAAATAACATTATTTTTTCTTCTGAAAATGTGGAAATCAGAATCTCTGATAGAATTAAAACTTCAGGTCCCGGCAAAATCCAACCTATTATCATTGTGCCTTTTTTCAAAGAAAAGCCAGACCTATGTGTTGCCTCAACTCTAAAATACTATTTAGAAATGACAAAATCATTGAGACCAGAGGGAATCGATGAAATGTTAATTACATATAAAAAGCCATACCATGCGGCAACTAGTCAAACAGTCGCAGTAGGTGGATCAAAACGGTAATCTCTAGAAGTGGTATAGATACTAATATTTTCAAAAGTCATTCCACCAGGCATGCAGCTACTTCCACTGCCTTGAGGGCAGGCGTAAGTATTGATGTAATAAAAAAGACAGCTGGATGGACAGACGCGTCTAACGTATTCAATGTATTTTATAATAAAACTGTTAGCCCTGATATCACCCAATTTTCAAGGGCTGTATTAGGTATAGATGAAGCAAATAATGGGTCTGATGGCCTCAATAATAATGAATGATTTAGTTACCACAGACCTCATAAATTGTTATGTATTTTTATAACTTTTTTGCTATGGATGTTAGAATGTTATAACGTTTATTGTTATAATTGGATTACTCATGTTCTGTATTGTTGATGAAAATATATATTTATATTGAAATAGTCTAAATTGATGAATTTATACAAAAATAATTCTCTCGTGTCAGTTAGATTGCATATTTTCTTTAAACATCTACAGGGTGTTGTAATTATCGAGTACAAAACTATGAAGAATAATTTAAAGATTAATCGACTTACCTAAGGAAGATCAATCTGAATTATTCGAATAGTTTTGTACGAAGATAATTACAATCCCACCCACCCACGTACAAGGTTAACCCTTATGCAATCTAACTATGATAGACACAAAAATGCAATGACGTATTGGTCAATGGCTGGCAGGGAGGTGGGGATATTTTTTGAAGTGTGAACCGTGCCTGCTTCAGGTATCGCGAGTGCGACTACAGGGTGTTGTAATTATCTTCGTACAAAACTATTCGAATAATTCAGATTGATCTTCCTTAGGTAAGTCGATTAATCTTTAAATTATTTTGAATTGTGACTAAAATAACGGATCAAATCTTCTGAAAATTGGCATAATTATGCCCCTGTCTTTATGGTGTAAACCCAGTTTCGGGAGAGTTGGAGGAAGGTCCACACTCTTATTGGCCCAAATTTTATGTTTAAAAAGTGAAACTCTGACTCGGAATAGTATGATCTTGTGGGCCATAAAAAATTTATTAGGTCTCTTGCATTTTTGTTATACAACTAACCGTTTGCCAGAGAATTATAATATTCGTAATCCACGAAAAGGGAAGTCACGACATCATTTTCGAACTTAATGGTTTGAACGCTTGCGTACGGAGTTGATCTACTTGTTCTTGATCCGTTATTATGATCAAAATTTTGAATCTCAATTTTTTTACCCAACTTACAGTGGATGTTTACAAGAAGAAAAAGTTTTATATTGATCCCGCAATGATAAGTCCTTAATGTATTTACATCGTACAAAAGATCATTGGGTTTGATTATACATACCTTCACCCTAGGTGTACAGTATCAACCAGATGCAGGTCAAAAATATTCTTTTCCTCTTCGTTCTATGAACAGAACCGACAAATGCAACTCATCTTGTTTGTGGTCTAGAAAATATCAAATTTTGCAAATTTTTGCAACTAAGGACGAAATAGACGCACGTTATTTGGTGTATTGAACGAATTTTCCGCATGAAAAAAGCAAAATGAGATTGTTTTGTGAATTGCCTATTATCTGGGCTGAAACAATTTTTCGGTCGGTTTTCCCGCAGATTAGGGTTTTATTAATTTCGTGTGATGACTTCTGCTGATATATTACCCGGAGATTCCTGTCATTGATTCGCTATCATTTACAGGTTTTTGAATGGGGTCATAATATTCCAACACAGCTAGGTCAAGCGGATATGTTTAATTACACTTAATGTTTTTGCACGTACTTTACAACTTCCACAAACTGGAATTGATATAAGAGGAAAACAAAATTGTAAGAATACCAGCATCGACGATTGCATGAAAATATTGAAAATAGGTAAAAACAAAAATACAATGAGAAACATACGAATCAACTGATCTGTTTAAGATTTGAACCCGCGGTATGAGTTCAGGTGGGTAGACTCAAAGAACTAAACAATATGACACTATTTATCAAGTTGTATTGGTGATTCGTCTTTTCCGAGTCTTCTTTTTCCATTTAGCTGACGAACCGAGAAACTTATTTTATACTTCAGAATTTCAAATCACAATAAAATGAATTATTAATGATCAATCATTTTCAAAACACAACTTTTGGTATAACAGTCAGTCTGAATCGCCTAAGTATATCAAAACATGAGTTACATGAATAAAATATAATTTTGTACAAATTTATGTTCAAGTCAAGTTTTATTTCGCCAACAAATTCATAATCTTATCATATCTCGCATCCATAACTACACCAGTCTCAATCTCCCTATACAAAGCTGTCTGAATGTTTCTCATCGTCTCTAGCTGAGTACGAGTTTGTTTCAAATCACTAAATCTCTGCGCTATGAACACTGTCGCACTATCGTCCATAGTGTCTTCGACTGGATTCATCGGTGAACTCAAAGCCGAAGTCAATTTTTCTCGCAACGTCCTCAGATAGTTTCTTCCATTGGAATCAGAAGAGGACTCCTCATCCGAACTCACCACGATAACTTCATCGGATTCCATTTCGTTTCTCAATTCTCTAGAGTCTTCCATTATTTCAGGAAACCACACAATCTCCTGCTGAACACTCGAAGTACTAGGAGTAGAAGTAGAGACAGATGAAAGTTTCGGCGGTTCCACTGTTATTCTTTCCAACTGCCAATTTTCCTTCGAATTTGAAGTTGGGCCACCATTTTTCGTAAACCCCGATGTGGTTTTTCTTATAGCTTTGGATGTTGAAGGCTCCATCCCGAATATTGGCCCATCTATCACTGGGGGAGGAGTGGGAGATTTATTTCCAGGTTTCAATATGGAAACGGTATATTTCACTCCGCGATTCGTCATCAGAATCTTATTTTTGTTTGAGTTCGATGCAGAAGCTTCAGCACTATTCCCTGGTGAGTTGTTGCTAATACTCGGGATTTGTTTATTTGCAAACTTAATTGTCGCTGGGGAACATTTCGAGGTACTGGGCTGAGCAGATTTCTTGACAGCCGAATATTTTGTGGGGTTAGAGTATCGCGGTAGGTTATACTTCGGAATCTCGGAAGGTTTATTTTCGGGTATATCTTCGATCAGATAGGACTTCAGAAAAGGCAATTGTCGTGTCCCATTTGGCGATTCTTTGGTAGATTCTTTCTTTGCATTGTTCAAGTTGTTGATTTTGGGGTCCAAACGTCTCACGAAGCGCAAGGAATTTTTTTCACCAGCATCTTGAGATATTTCATCAGTTATAGCTGCTGCTTGCAGGGTCTTTGGTTGAGGTTCAGATGGAGTTGAATGTTCATTTTTTCTATTATTGGCAATCCATTGATCCTCGCTGAGAGTTTCGTCGAGCCACAGTTGTTTGTGACTGAATTTCGAATGTTCGAGAGATGAAAATAAATCGGTAATCTTTGGTCGTAGCGAACCGATTTTGCTGTTCGTTGTGGGCTCGGCAACTGTCACTGTTTGATGCTGTTCATTTTTGGGCTGAATTTGTTTATTTTTAGACTTTTTAGACTTATAGGTGAGCCGCGGTCTACGCCTACGAGGTTTGGTAATTGGCTTGATTGTAGTTTTCGAATTCCTATGCCTCAAATGGCGATGGATGTTCAACAAGTCCTTAGTTTTAAATGCTTGATTACACTGCCCGCAAACTTCGAGTTGAGGCACATCTGTATTCATTTTGAACAAAGACACTGCCTTTTCTTTACAATTATTTATAGCGATCGAGTTTTGATCACCACTGAATTCGTTATGGCGTTCAATAATCAATTCCTTCAATGCCGAAGTAGGTAATTTGTAATAATAGTCCATATAGCTCAACCTCTTCGTTTCATCTTCGTCTTGACCTTGAAGCTCCAGCTGAGGAGGTATCAATCTGTAAGTAGTTTCGTTGACTTTCTCATAATTCCCACTGAGATTACTGTCTTCCAATCGTTTTATATTTATCACAGGGGAAAACAACTGTTCGAAAATATTAGCAGAAACTAGTGTTACATCGTCACAAGTCGCGTCTGCAGCAGCATTATTTTTACTATTAGTATTAGTCGCGCGAGAAATCAGAACAGGTCTTTTTCTTGTCTCTACGTTTGGAGAATTCGCATTTGTATTTGTAGCAACATTTACGAGTTTGTCTGTCGGTTCAGTTTTCACCTCAACCCTTCTTTCAAAAGAGTTCTTCATACTAGGTGGCACTACAGAAGGCGTTAACATTTTGTTGAACTTATTCTGAGCCCTACAATCTTGTCCTGGTTCGCCATTCAGTATGGAACTGCCCTAAAAAGTAACATCCATTTTATTTTTGCTATTGCCGGATTGTGCTGGGAGAAGGGTTAGTACTGGGGTCAGTTCAGCTCGCCTATATGCAATATTTCAGTGGGGCATAGTCGTCAAGAGGGAAATCTCAGTCAATCTCGGTAAGTATACTACAATCTTTCAGGCGGAGGTCTTCGCAATTGACTAATAAACCTCAATTAAACAAAAACACCAGTATTGTGTCAGGCTGCTCTTGAAGCACTAAGCTCCAGCAAGATTAAGTCCAAGCTTGTATGGAGCTGCATTGAATCCCTAGAATGCCTGAGTGCTAACAACAGAGTCACCCTGCTGGGATGCCTGGACATCAGGGGGTGGAGGGCAACGGGAAACCCTCGCCAAACAGCGAACCGAGTTTGTGTTCATAGGACCAGAACCATACTTTGAGGTCTCCGCAAGTGCGGCCTAAAATAACTCTGTCGGACTGGGTGGAAGGGAAAAGACTCACGCACTGGTCTGAATTACCAGGATTAACCCATTCGAAGGCGTTCCTGCCTAAACCAACGAAAGAAAATACCAGGCAGACAAACCTCACCTCATTCAACCATGGGCTTTGTAAAGAGAAGTGGATTGTACAGACCCATTCGGGGTCCCAGTAGAGGGGCGGCATTCGCCTACTCACATAGAACCTAACCCTAGTCTTCATGAACACTTTTCTAGAGATCCAATGGTTTGTCTTTATTTTCTGGTTTAATGTTGTCCTACACCTAGATTCAAGGCATTTCGTAAGGAATTTATCGAAGATACACATGAATTCGAAAGATCAGGATAAACCCTGTCATGTTCTTTCTTGTTTGATGATAAAATGGGGGAAATTGTATGGTATCTAAAACATTTGTATAATGAAATAAACAATACAATATGAATGTCTATGAAATCTGAAATTCCTATAATGTTCGGAGGATAGGGAGAGGAGGTAGGCTTACAGGCGAATATAAATAGAATATTGATCTTTGGACCTTCTATTCGACATAATATGACTGACATGGTTTGTTTCTGGAAACAGAATGTCTAGAAAAAGTCTCAGACATTCTTCTCTTCGGATGTTCACTGTTGAAAGAGTATTGCTATTCATTTCATTTATATTTTCGATACTAACTCTCCACATGTCATATCAAAACTAACTGCCTTCTCGAAGGACTTGGATCATTACGTCACATTTGAATGTAAAATCAACTTTAAAACCGGTTCATCGTACAATAACACCTCCATGATCTGAATGACTCGGAGTTTCACATAATTTGACAAATTTATAGAATATGATATACTAATTAGATGATCTCAAAGCAACCTTTGGATAAAACATGACGTTTGATTATCAACAGTTCATCCATTCTTGACATACTATAATCTCCTGAGACGTCTCTGTGAAACACTAGAAAACCTTAGTGGCTACGAAATGTTTTCTGTACGGCTATAACATAAAATTGCTTTTGGTTTACTGTGTTCGATAAATCAATGACGTATTTGGTATGTCATAAATTTCATTTCCGTATCTGATAGTCCATTGTGTTATCATTTCACAAAATCTGATCTCCCATGGAATGTTAAATTTCAAGCAATGACAGCTTTGTCTAATAGATGAGCATTACGTGAGAAAATCACATTGCTACAAGCCGAAGAAATAAAAAATCTCGCTATTATCTGTTACAGACGTAGAAAAAGTATGGTGTATAACTCGCACGGAATGGTGGGAGGATAAATTTTCTTTTCATGCTTTTTTTTACTAAGTTCCATAGATTAACGCTAGCATTGGGAGTACCTACTGCATGTGGTTAATGCACACTACTCTTCATTAATTGGTTGCTTTTACGAACTGTCATTAAATTCAATTTTCACTGAAGAAATTTGATATTTTGATGGACTTAATTTTCTGACATTCACTTTCACCGCCACGTAGACTTATCTAACTTTATTACAGTAAGTTTCATTCATTCGCAGTTTTCAAAGTCTAATTTTGATGAAAACAAGAAGTTGACTTCTGCGCAAGTCACACTTTCACTTAATTTGTCTTTGAGAGATTAAAGTTGGTCAATAGTAGTTAATGAAAGTTGAAAATGAATGTGGATGCATAAATGGTGGAAATGCCATGAAATAATAAGAACCTGTATAAAGTATCTTCAGAAGAATAAATAAATGCTTCAAACATAATGAACCCATAAAATTCAACGGGGTGCGTGTCTAGGTCTAAATTATAGGTTTAATCTTCGTGAAGAGTGACAAGATAAATATATTTTGTGACTATCACTCTACCTACCTGTCGTTTCTGGAAAGTTTTCCTTTTTCTGAAACCATACTTGCTGATTCTCTGATACTCCTTACGAATGTCAGTGTCTTCTAATTTCCTGACTTTAACAAATGGTTGACTCAACTCTGCAAGAGTATCATATGATATTAGAATCCTATTACTTCTATCAGTACTATAATTGTTGTCAGTACATGTACCAACGTCCTTAGTGATGCTGCTCTCCTGAAACAAAAAATACAATATTCAAGTATATGTATGATGCACAGTTTTTTTTTCATAATCTCCATCAAGATTGATCAACATATTCCCTCTTTGAAGGAATAAAATAAATCATCGACCAAGCAGTGGTGCCTCTAGTGGCAGCATTTGAGGTAGCCAAAGAAGCATGATGTCATGTTCCGTGATGTAACTGTCAGTTGTCGCAATATCTACTTAACCTCAATTCGAGCAGGAAATCACAGACACAGTTTCTAAATTGAGAAACTAGATTTGTCAATATCTAAACAGCTCAACGAACTGGGAATACCTACCCATAAAAAGTCACACATGGAAATTGTAATACATTTTGAAACATTTCATTTATTTTAACTAATACCTACCCTACCTTTCAAACATTATATTCTTTCTAATCAAGATACTGCTTGGATATTTACATTTTTTTAAATCCAGTTCATTCTTGTCATATTATGTATGGGATGAGAATGTCCCTAGCATTTTTACTTTTTATTTATTTGAGTTCAACATGCTGGTGCAATAGATGTAGGGGTTACCATCATAAAGGGTAAACATTATGACTGATCCTGACTGTGTGATATCTTTTCACCAACCTCCAATACTTTGCCACTACCTAGTATAACAGAAATCAATGAGACATACTCAATCGAATACCTTATAGGTATTGTTAAACATGGATTCAGCTTCAGCTAACAATCCATATGTGACTCTTTACAAGATTATGGAACAGAAATTGAACATAACATCAAAGAATACCATGCACACTGCACAAAACTTTTACTTTCGAACAACCTGATATGAAAATTACCTTATAGTATTACAACTTTTCGAAGCAAAATGAGTGATAGAATAATAAGACTAGTATTCAATATGATTGTCAAAATGATCAGCTATGTTGAAGAAGAACTTCAGCGAAGATGCTATCAAGGGCAGTTGAGTTGATACAACTTCAGCAATATGTAGTGAATACTAGGAGATACATACATCAACATTATAGTCTGGTGGACATCTCTTCTCTTTCAGAATGAACTGGTTCGTCTGGAACTGTTTTCGAATTCGAACAATGAAATTTGTTATGTTTTGACATCTTCTGCAAATCGACTTGGGAAAAGGATCAGCAACCTCAACCTGAAAGAGGATAATACTAGTTATAGTAGGTTAAACATTAGGTACAATACAAAATTATTCATGTTGAAAACCAAGTACTCCAAGTTGGATAAAAGACTCAATGAGGGGGGGAACTCATTATGGAGACTGAAATTAGTTCCCATAGAGAAAGTATGATAGGTACTATGAAAACTTCAATAGGTATCACCATATTACTTACCTCTACCCCATATATCCAATAAAACGTATCAGTCAGATGAAGGTCAAAAATATTGTCTTTCATTATACTCTCTTCCTTTTGTAAACACAACCTGCAAATATTCGACATCCTGCCAGTTTTCTAGTAATGAATAAGCAAAACAGGCTTATAAATAATTATACCATTTTCATTTTCCACACACAAACCCACTTAGTATAGCGGGTTGCCTAAAAGTGTTGCCTGTTGCCCGTCACCTATCACCTGTCATGAGTGTCTTCCTCATATTGAACTTGACATTGACGTGATCTCAACTGATGCTGGGTACAGATGACAGCCTTTCGCATTTCTGCTATAGCGATTCGCATTCTGATTGATCACCATAATTCGTAATGACTTCACAGAAAGTTTGTTTAAAGGCTATTGAGCGGAAAATGTGCAAATAATATAATTTTATAGAAAAAAGGTGATATTTGTCTTGTACAATAGGTCCGCGCTTTATTATTCATCTTTCTACTGTAAGTTATGAGCTGTCATCTGTATCCACCATAAGGCAGTGGATGTATGTCCGACAGTCGGTGGTATTAGACCGAGAGCCAGCAAGAAAAACCACGTATTATTAGCGAAACGCAAAAACTTCTTGATAAGTTAGTAGTGTTGGGCTAGCGCTGTTAGCAGTGTTATAAGCACGATGTTATAAGTAATAGAGAAACGCAAGTATGGCAGCCCTTCGGTGCTGGTATTGAGCTGCGCAAATTTTTGAATGAGTCAAAATAAACCATGCCCTTGGGGAAAGAGCACAAAGGTATTTCTTGTTTTATATTATACATTAGATGAAAGTATGGCGGTCCGTTCTTATGACCCCCATGGTCTATTTTGATGAATAGATCCAATGCCATACAGTTCCGGTGTTCCTAAGCATAGTATATTATCCTTTCACGATAAATGATATATACTGTACCCTAAGTAGCCGCTATATTATACTGATTCAAATATGCCGAATTTTTCGATACAGTCCATGTGACAGAGGAAAGTATGGCGGTCCGTTTTTTGACCCCCATGGTCTATTTTGATGAATAGATGCAATGCCATACTGATAGGAGTTATTGAAATGACCGTCAGGATGAAAAAACAATTGATTTGATATATTCACACAAAAACCCACGTGGCCACATGAGTATGGCACTTCTGCCTGTTATGCATCACAAGTAAAAATTGAACAATTTTAAAACTAAATTTCTCACATTCGATACATCCAATCGGTACTAGAAAAGTATGGCATTGTTATAATCGGTGATGACACATATTTCTCATTCGACGAACAAAATATATTTCCGCTAGTATTTCAAAAGAACATGAAACAATGGCACGTTCAATTCAGTATGGCGGACAGTTTGGAACGCTTCGGTATGGCATACAACTCCTTCACATTCTGGCTATCGAATGTATAATATTAAACAAGAATTAGGTACCTTTGCGCCCATTCCCAAGGGCATACTTCATTTCATTCAAAAAGTTGTGCAACTCAACGCCGATACCGAAGGCCGCCATACTTGCATTTCTCTATTACTTTTTAACACTGCTAACTTCTCAAAAAGTTTCGGCGTTTCGCTAATCATACGTGGTTTTTCTTGGTGGCTCTCGGTCTAATATATAAAAGGGTTTCTAGGAGAGAAAATCAGCCGATAGATATAGTGACACCTTGAATTTTTCTGTATACTTATATTCTGTTTGTACCTATATATCTTTACATCAATTTGGGCGGAAGTAAATTTAGTACCTAGCACCTTTCAGCACCCTGGTGCGAAAAAGGTGTTGAAGTAACTAATTTTACCGTTTTTTCAGTAACTTTTGGTGGAGACCATTTTGATTTCTTCGCCTATGGCATTCAAATTCCGATAAATTCAAAATTATCAATAAATTCCATATTGTTATTGCCTTACATGATGCTTACCGTAGACACCTTTCTCGCCCTTGATTCTTCAATAACTATTCCCACACAATAATCGTGAAACTTTTGACGGCATAAGTCACTTGGTGTGAAAAGTGAGTTCCACAAGTTTCAAAATAAATTAAAACATCCGATAAAGATGGAAATGATGTATTACAATTTTTTTTCAAATGGATAAAACGAAACATTACAAAAATAAATCAGCCTTAAAAAATAAGTTAATGCAACGACACATTACATCATCAATAACAATAACAAAATAGAAAACTTAACTTAACACAAAGTATGTATGCTTTAAAATGATAAATCAATAGTAGGCTCCTTTCTTCTTTAAAAGTGTTTTAGTATCCATTCGCTTGACTCGCGAAGAATCATACAACATTTCGTTTCTAAAGTCTTTCGGATGCCTCTTGTTCTTCTTGAAGTTTTCCATTTCCCTCCTGGTCACAATACTAGTGGAAGGTTTCATATCAGCTACATCAATTACCCAGGATTCGCTAGCATCAGGTTTGCTAGTAGTCGGCTTGATAACCCTCTTTGGTCTATTCCTAACGTCGGTTATCAACTGGTTCATCAAACTGAATGTCTGAGTTTGTAAATCTCCTTCGGACGACGAACGTCTTCTCTTTGAGGGAGCTTCTTCTTTTGCCTTCTTCGCCTTTTTGGTCTTCTTCTTGCGTTTCTTGGTTTCCAGTTCCTCTAGGCTTTGACTCAGCCTCCTCTTTGGTGTATGTTTTTGAGTATCGTCGTTCAAGTCTTCCAAGCTTGTACTTAGTCTTCCTTTCTTGCTGGGCGACTCTTCTTCATAAGAACTACTGGTTCTTTTGACGCTTCTACGCTTTCCACCTGTTTCCTCAGCTTTTGGTGCCTTCTGTACAACTTTTGGTGATTTCTGTGCAACTATTGTCGATTTGATCTCCGGCTTTTCGCTACACAAAGAATCTTCAGAACTGCTCTTCCGAGCATATTCAAGCGATAGGTTCATAGATATGTCTCCCTTCTTAGGAATGGTAGTGCAAAAGTTGTCTACCAAACTGTGAATTCGCTCACTTAGAGCTGTGTCTTTGATGTCTTGTACATTGATGTTTTCGATGATGGTGATAGAAGATGAAGATCTTCGCCTCGAGGAACCCTGATCGGACATCAGCTGACTAGTACTAGGCACTATATCTTCCTTAGTTTCTATGGTTGGTGACTCTGCAGTAGGATCGACTTCAATATCCTCCTCACTAGAGCTGGACACTGAGATGATCCTGGACTTCCTTTTCGGCTTCACTGGTTTTTCTTTCCTCTCAATGGTTATGACATCGCTTTCGATATTCTCCACATTGATTATCCTCGACTTTCTCTTCTTGTGTTTCGTATCTTCCAAGTCGTATTCTTCGCCAGGCAACAATTCGATCTTATCATTATCACAAATGAAAGAATCGTTGGAATCATATTCATCTTCTGTCTCTTGGTCTGATTCTGAATGTATCGATTCGCCTTCATCGACAATCTGATTGCTGTCGTCAGAAGGAGTGTCTTCTTCTCCTTCTTCCGCCATGGTATCCAAAAAGTCTCCATCCTCAGATTCCTCTTCAGCAGAATCACTTGACCCTTCATCACCAGAATCACTTGGTTCTTCATCATCTGGATCACTCGATTCTAGCTCATCTTCCATCTCTGCCATTTTTCTGGAGATAAATTCGTCCAACTTTGAGTTTGTGAATTCTTCTAAGCTCACTGTCTTTTGAGGTGGTTGGATTTTTGTTTGTCCATCGGGGAGTTCGAGCTGCTTGGATTTGGATTTCTTCTTTTTTCGAGGTGACTCTTGCAAGTGATGCTCAGTTTGTTTTGGTACTTCATTCTGATTTGATTCACTGCTTTTGTCTTCAGGTTTTGGACTTTCAGGATCCTGATCTGATGTTCCATCCTGCTTGAAGAATTTGAAAAGATTGAAATGATTCTTCTCAGTATCAGTGGCTACTGTTTCTTCAGATTTGTTTTCGGGTTCTTTGTTTGAACGTTCAGGTTCTTGTGCAACAGATTCGTTCAACTTTTTATTTGCACCTTTTTTCTTCTTCCTAGATGTATTCAGATCGTGAGTTTCTGTCAATGGAGAATGTTCTTCATTTTCTTTTGGGATTTCACTAGGCTCATCAGTAGTTGTTTCATTCGACAATTCCACAATAGCTTCTACTTTTGGCACATCAATGGAACCATCTTCTTTGAGAACATCCTGGAAACTTTTCTCCATTTCCTCAACTTCAGCAGCTTTTTCTTCTTCTCCTCCTTCATCGATTTGAGTTTCAATATTAGTGTTATCCTGATTATCAGTATCATTTACACTGGTTTCATCATGAAGATTTGATGTATTGGACTTGTTATCTTTTGTTGGTTGTGGTGATGTTTCTACAGGAATACATTTTGATTGCTCAGTTACTTCTTCAGATAAATTTTTTGTTGCCGACTTATCCAATACCTTCTCTTCACTGTCGAGGCAAATATCATCTTTAGTGGAATCAGCTGCAGAAATAGTCACATTTATTCCCTTTTCAGTCACATGATGAGCTTCCATTTCTAGATCTTCTAATTTAAGTGATTCATCCTTATCTGGTTCACTGGGTGCATCCTGTATTATTTGAATTTTTTCATCAATGTTCTTTTTGACTGATGCATGAGCCTCAATTTCCACATCATCAGCATCTTTAGATTTCAAATCAGTTTTTTCCTGATGTTCAATTTTGGCTGCCTCAGCTTCAATTTCATTTTCTTCTTGTTCTTTTGATATGCTAAGATTGGATTCTTTTACTTCTACAACAGTTAGGTCAGGCTGATCTTGTATAACTTCTGTCTCATTAATTTTTTCTCTGGTGATCAGTTCTATTTCTCCAGATACAGATTTATTCAAAGAAGTTTCAATTGAATCGGTCTTTGCTGGTTTAGTGATTGCTTCGGATTCATTGACTTTGGAAGTATCCAATAAGTGAGTTTTTTCCATTTCCTCATTATCTTCTTCTGAAGGCAAATCGAATTCATAGTCTTGGGACATATCAACTTTCTTGGATATCCCGATATATGACTCGTCAGTAGCCAATTTGGAACACTCTAGAGTACAAGTTGTATTTGCCGTTTCTTCTAAAATCACTGACATCTCAGCAGCTTTAGAAACAGTTGACTGATCAACATCAACATCTTCTACAATGACAATGGAGTCATCTGATACATCTACGACGAGTTCACTTGAGGAAACTCTTGGTGACTTGTCAAAAGTTTTTTCCAGGTTGCCAGCAGCGCTGACCTCTTTTGTTTCTTCAACTATTTCAGGCTCAGTTAGTTTTGTTGATTTATTGGGAGATTCCATTTTGGTGACATCGAGCTGTAGATTGAAACTTTCATCAACTGATTCATCCGGAATACTAGCGAGAAGTTTGGATTCGTTTACAGTCTTATCAAAATTAGTAGTGTCTAGATCAATGCCAGTTTTATCAACTTCCATTGGTTCCACGAAGCTGAAGTCTATGTTCTTGGGACGGAACACATTAGAAACTCTAGCTATGACTTGGTTCTGTTCAAACATAGTTTCTTTCTCGTTGACCAAAGTTTTCATGATTTCTGTCTTGGCAGTAATCTTCGATTGGTTCATGCTGTCATCAACGTTGATAGCCACGTTTTCTTTATCACTGCTGTTACTGGTTTTGGAGGTGTTCAAGTCATCTACTTCGTCTTCTTGACTGGTCGACTCTAACCTAGTGTCAGATAAGTGGAACTGGAATGAATCATCAGATCCTGTGCTTATGTACGTTGATTCTTTTTTCTTCAATTCCACAGAAACAGGTGGTTCAGGTTTGAACACTGTGTCATTTTCGACATTAGACTTTTTTTGTAGTGGTTCTTCTGATTCTTTCTTCTTTATTTCCGCAGAAGCAGGCGAATCAGATTTGAACACTGAATCATCTTCAATATTCAAGTCTTCTTGCGGTGTTTCTTTTGACGTATCTGATTGGTTATTATCTAGATTTTCCGTAGTTGCTCCTGAAGATTTATCAGATCCTGTGCTTGTGTAGGTTAATTCTTTCTTCTTTAGTTCCGCAGAAACAGGCGAATCAGATTTGGACACTGAATCACCTTCAATGTTCAACTCTTCTTGTGGTGGTTCTTTAGACGCATCTGATTGGTTATTATCTAGATTTTCCGTGGTTGCTCCTTGAATTGACTCATTTTTTGTGTGATCTCCTGGCGAATCACTTTTTCGTGCCTTGGCTTGAATCCTGGGCGATTTTCTGGGAGCTGAAGATTCTTCTACGGCAAGATTTTCAGTGTCTTCTTTGGGTTTCTCAACAGTTTGTTCTTGAGATATCAGTATTCTAGGTGATTTTTTTGGTGTGGCAGGACTTTTGGCTCTGTTTTTCTCAGTCGGTGTGTCTTCATGCTTGAGATTATTCACTTCTGTGGGGGATTTACTGTTGCGGAATCTAGGCGATTTTTTAGGGGTTGTTATCTTCTCTTCAGGAGGCTGGCGAGATGCTGCTTCTTCATTTGAATCTTCGATAACTTCGACCACTACTTCGGTGACCTTGTCATCGACATTTTCTTCGACGAAGCTGGTTTCATTGATGATGCTAAGATCCAGTTCAGCTTTAGCAGCTTCCTGCTTTTTCTTGATAGGGGTAAGTTGAATAGTTTCCGAGCTTTTGTTGGGCACAGGAGAAAGGCTTTTTCTTTCTCCTTCTTGTTCTTCAATGGGTGCCAAGTTGATTGCATTTTCTGTGATGGAAAGTCTTCTTTTGGGTTTGGTTGGTGCAATTTTGGCAAGTTTGACCTCTGGTTCGCCGTCGAGCTTATCAGTAGACGACCGGCGTGTTCTGACAGGTTTTTTCTCGACGGATTCAGTTTCTTGTGCATCCACCGACTTTCTTCTCCCTCTTGTGGCTGGTTTCTTCTCTTCTGGTTCCAATGAAACCTCTCTAGAAGCAGACCTAGTACTGCGAGTTGGTCTGACATTGGTGTCTTCTTCTGGTGGCTTATCTTCCTGGACTGAACCTCTTCTCCCTCTCAAGGTTCTCGTTAATGTTTCTTCTTTAGTTTGTTTTGCTTGTTCTGTCTCGAGGTCTTCAGTGGCAGAAGATCTTCTTCTTCCTACTGGCTGTCGCTTCACTTCATTTTCTTTGGGTTCTGTGGTGACTGAAGATCTTCGTGATCTGGGTTTAGCGGGTTCCAATTTTGGTTCTTCTTTCGGTTCGGTAGTGGCTGAATTTCTTCGAGCTCTGGTTTTTGCCGGCTCAGGTTTTGGTGGAGGGTCTTCTTTGGTGATAGATGCGGCTGAAAAACAAGGATTTGATAGCTCAATTTTGAATAAGTGAATTATCTCGAAGTAGGTAATTTCTTAAGGTCACAAACTTTTCAGTGTATCTACAACATTGCAGAAACGAATTCGATTCCAAAGTCAATTATTAGTAATATCAGTCGACAAGAGTATAATAGGTATAATCAAAAATGTTTTTTGATCAACTTTTATGACAGAATGACAGAGGACATATGCTGAAAGGCCATTCAAAAAACTTAGTTAATCAAGAAGAGGAGTGCATGAAATGGCTCATGGTTCATCTTCAATATTACTTGAACTTGACGAATTCTAGATCATGCAAGAATAAATGCCCCATTTTTAGGAACGTCGCGTATACTGTGTCATTCATAAAGTCGGCATCATATGGGAAAAACTTTTAATAATAATTTATTTAGAAATTCGACTTGAGCGTAAAGTTTTGCATTCAAAAATATCAAAAATGGACTACTCGGTCGGAGTCAGGTGACTTTCGCTACATGTCAAAAGTTACATTTTTTCAAATTAATCGCTGAAAATATGCTTATTTGTACGAATTTCAGGGAAATTTACTGATAAAACTTGTTTCTATTCAAATTTTACACATTATCTCGAATTTGAACGTTCTATTGCAACTTTTCGTTCTTGAATTTTTTTTGATATCTTCTAATTGTAATAGACCAGAGCCGGCTGCAAATTGCGACAGTCATCTGATAAGGAAATGATATATATCCCAAAGGCATGTAAAACCATTGTAATTTATTGAACGACTCCTGTGCTAATCACTATCCTGAGCAAAATGATTGAAAATTTGCACTTTCCTGTGCGGAAATTTGCACTCGATTTCGTGATTTGATAAAGAGATGATAATTATGCCATTTGATACCAATTGAATGGTAGATTTCAAAAACCTACCTGTGCCACCATTCAGTCTGAGCCAAATCCACGAAACAGCGATGTATTTGCTGCTATTATTCTGGGCATACTTCCGTCGTGTGATAAAAAGTTGAAACAAGAAGTAAATGAAAGGGGATGATGTCGCCTTTGCGAATATCCAAACGTGCCGCAATTCAAACTGATCTAAGTGGCAGAGCGTTCTTACTTTAATGGAATAAAGTGTATTCAAAGCAAGATTTGCATATTTTTCTATATTTGGAAAGGGTCTTGATGACGTTATCGAATTTTTATACCTGAAAACATACGTATATTTTGGCATATTTAAATTCAAAATTTGAGAAAAAAAACCCTACCAATCAACAAATTACAAAATGAACATCAAATCAGACCTCCGCCACTTCACGAGCTAAAAACAATTCCTAAAATTTTCTTCATTTTTCAATTTCTGACCTATAACAATAATATTTCGAATTATTTTTGAGGCACTCTCATATATTTTCAAACGTTTTCCCGGTTTTTCCATTTTTCATAATAGAGTTAAAAAGTTGAGTATTCCCTATAGGTATGTTTCTCGAAAAAAAAAAAAAGATAATATTTCAAGACTTTGCAAAGAAGAAAAAGTATTTTTTCTACAAACGTCAAAAATGACAAGGTTCGCGCATTGATAACAAATTGCAAAGTGACACTTTGTTTCAGTTTCCTACGTTACCATGATACCTTGCACAGAACAATGCGCGAAGTAAAACAGTGCGCGAAGTACCTACTTCGCGCATTGTTATGTAAAATATATGCGATATTTATATTTCAACTTTATGGTCCTCAATCGAGCAAACATCCACGAAATTCTTTATTTCTGAATGTTCAACAATAACTTTGTTTTATCTCTTGGAGCGTACGAAAGGAAATTCCTATTATGTTCGTGGAACATCGTGCGTACCTAGGGAGGATAGGGGGACGCCTTTTAGGCCAGTTCAACACTATTTTTTATATCAAGCTGAGCATATATTTTTACTTTGGAACTATATTTTTTGACGTTTGTAGAAAAAATGTTGTTTGCAACTCGAGCGCGAAATACTTTGGTCATCTCGACTATTTTTTAACTCGGCTACGCCTCGTTAAAAAATCAGATCTCGATCACCAAAGTAGCATTTCGCGCTCTAGATACAAAAATAACTATTGTATATTTACAACACATTCATTCATTTTTTTTTATTTGAAATTGAAATTTCTGGATGCCACTTTAACAAAACTTTTTTTATGGTAAATTTGCACTTATCATGCGATGGGTTTTTCTTCGAATTTTTTTTTATTTTATTTATTTACGTATTTTTGTCTGAAAAATAGGAATTTGATACTGAAAATGTGAACAAACCTTTATTTATTAAGATATTTCACTATAAATTTACAAAATTCACCTTCTCTTCCGCCTGTCTTTTGGATCGCATTTCGAACAATTTGCCCTTCTTTTTTCATCAATAGACAATTTTTATATCTCAATGTACATCAATAACACATTTTTTCTACATGAAAGTCAACTAGAAATATGATTTTCTTGTAATTTATCAATATTTAGTGAGAAGAAGGAAGAATATAATTTGAAATAATGGCGTGTGGATTAAATGGCCGTCATCTGGTATGATTGTTTACTAAATATGAAAAACTCGCCATAAAAACCATATTTCGTGTTGAATTTTTTATTTGAAAATGTTTCGAGTTAGGTTAGGTTGTGTCCAATGGCAAAATAAGAAGAGAAAGTAGCTTTAAATGCAACCAAGGAAAGAAGGCGAAATTTCGAACTTTTTCTTGAAATATCTCTGAGTAGTGGTTGGTTCACATTTCCATACGTAGGTAACAAAAAATTAAAAAAACATTGCATAACTGCAAAATTACCTAATTTATTGTCCATCAAACCAAGCTACCGAAACATGAGGTCAGGGTTGGTAGAACTGATAAATATGCTTCTAATCTTCGTGTTATTTTGACCTCTTGCTATGATATCTTCTTCTCCGATGTCTTCCATATGTCCTTGTTTTCAGTGTTCAAACATAAAATAATGAAAATTTCATGTTGGCAACACTGGAAATGAGAAGAAATGGAAAAGAAGACCATTCTAACCTTTTTTATATATTGAGGTTAATATGATCTCCTTTTTTCCCATTCCCAATGTTACCAACATAAAATTTCCATTATTTTACGTTGGAACATTGAAATCAAAGATAGATGGGGAAGACATTTTTTTCTCTTTCAATAATAGCTGAACCGCTTTCGTTAGTCTGATCATTCATAGGACACGTGTTATTTTTAAATACTACGCCATTGAAGATGATTGTATTAATTATTATTGATTGAATTAGCTTGATGACTCGACTCATAGTGCACGTGTTTTCAAGTAATCCTCAATTGGAGATGATTGTGTTGATTGAAGGGAATTAATGTGAATATTATTTGTTTGATGCAGAATATTTCATATCGACGCTCTTCTATTCCCTGAACGAATCAGATATTGGTTATAGTGTGTTTCAGAATCCACTACCAAGATTTCAGAAGCTTGAGCTAATTATTCCTCAGATCAAAATTGGACTTTCATCCAATGTTCGCAATCGCTTCGTTACCGGTCTAAAGAGCATTGAAGATACATATTTTTTTCCTTTTTTCAATTAACCCGCTTTTATTAGCTTCACCTGTATGCACTATGTGTCAACCAACTCCTTTGGACTCGTTTTTGATTCACTTTAATTAGACCGAGTGATATAAAATTAGGCAGGTGTACATAATTCTGGTGGCAATGCATCATGAAATTTTTGTTAGGCAAAACACGAAATGGCGGATCCAATATGGCGATCGAGTTTTGTAATTATGATCTGATTCTATTCAATATTGGTATCTGGGGGTTTTCAAGGTCCGAAATTATCAGTCTTTTGTCAAAATCGGTAAATTCAAGATGGCGGATCCAATATGGAGGACGAGTTTTGTATTTATGATCCGAATCTATTCGAAACTTGAATTCTGGGGGTTTTCGGAGTTGGAGATTATGGTTCTTTCGTCAAAATTCGAAAATTCAAGATGGCGGATCCAATATAGCGGACGAGTTTTGTAATTATGATCCGATTCTATTCAATATTGGTATCTGGGAATTTTCGAGGTCGGAGATTATGATTATTTCGTCAGAATTTCTCTTAGTTTTTTATACTAAAATTTTCTATGTTTTGCTCGTATAGTTTTCGAGATATGCAAATGAAATTTGAAACATCATATCTATGTTTCAGAATTCGCATTATACAGTATGCCCAAGGATTATAAGAATCTAGAATTGTTTTGTTTTGCGTCACTGGTAGATTTTGAAGTTCTTTACTTTGTTAATAAACTTCTTGTATTATTTACCCATCTGTAACCGTTATCGAGAAAAAACATTTTTTCTCCGATAGGCAGCAAATATTAATTTTGCTGACACATATCAATCAGCAAAGTATTACTTTTCCTGCCTAGGCAGCAAAGTGGGTACTTTGCTGATTGATATGTATCAGCAAAATTAATAATCCATAAATCGTTTATAATTTCCTTCAGATTTCATCCGAGACTTCTCCGGCAACAAATTCAACTCTATATTTTTTGCCACCTCCCTTATTTTTGGAGGTTTAATTAAGTACTTCCAGGTCGCTATCACTGTCTATTATATAATAATTTGAATATACCGATATTTTTTCGCACAATTGTCAGAAATTTCATGAATTGTCAAACTATAATTATTATGGACATTTCCATAGCAACCAACCATTCCAACAACTGCGCTTTCTATCAAATTTTATTTTAATTGAACACTACAGGAAAAATAAAGAGATATATATCATTATGAAAAATCGGAGAAAAAATTATATGTTCAACTCGGCAGCAAAGTAGATTGACTGCCGAGGCTGAATTCATAGCCGAGCGTAGCTGCCTAGTTAAACAAATAACTATTTTCATATTGACTAGATTTATTGATTTTTTTTAAAGGAAAGAACCTGTAATATCACAATAAAAACATAAAACACTACATATTTAGTTTGTGATATTGATTACCAAATTCCAAAAATTCGTCAGGTAAGAAGAATAAGAAACCAAACGAATCTTTATATTTATGAAGGGTGCTGGTAAATAAAAAAAATCTTGAATTTTTAACGATCTGTAGATCGATAAAAAAGCGTTTGCGGATACATATTTAGAGAAAAAAGGTCTTATTTTGACTTGGAAAATAAGTCCCAGGTATTTTGACACTGAATTTTGGGATACCCTGTATAATGATCAGATATCAGCGAACAAATGTCAAATAATTTGCGAATTCTTCCCCTCAAAACCAATTAAACTAGTAAACCATCTGTGGCTTAATTAAAAATAATCATCTCCACATAACATATCTGCTAGGTACCATTAAATTAATTCCCCCTATATTACTCATGAATGTATGGAAATATGAGGAGAAAAGAACATATAGTTGATGAAATATTTTGGAATCTACTTTCTTATGATGATAAGTTTACTGAATGAGTCTAGTGTTAATCAGTCTGATTACATTAATTAATATACGTTGTTGCCGTCAATTGACATTAATTTATTTCACTTTCTTATCTACTTTCCAGAGTACTATTTTTGTTTTTGTGATGAGGATGTCTTATAAAATATAGTATTTGGTATGAGGTCTAGATTCGGCTCAACTTAAGTCGAAAAAAGTACAGTATCTTATACCTTGCCCATCACTTATGAATTTTTCTACAACATACATGGAACAAACCCTTCTATACCTTTTCAACTTCAATTTCGGAATCGGTAAGTTATATTTCGGCAAAAGTAATCTCGATTTCAGAATTGGTAAGTTCGATTTCAGAAAAGGTAAACTCAATTTCAGAATCGGTGAGATGAATTTCAGAAAAAGTCCATTCAATTTCAGAAATGGTAAGTTGTATTTCAGAATTATTATTGGTACTTATTGGTAGGTTCAATTTCAGAAGATGAAATCCTTTTATATGTTTGAAATGTTTTTAATTGCAAAAGAGAAGATTATTTACAGTGGATGAACGGTGTTTGAGAGACCTATGTTGAATTAGATTGAACATATATGGGGTGCCTTCAAGTCAGAAGTGAAGAGCTTCTTGCAAGAGCATCGCCAAAGGGTCATAGCTGGGGATCCGAACAGATTGCTCAGCCAGATAGAATTCAGACTGCTATGTCTTGAAGAATTTGCAGATCATTCAATGAAAATGATAACACCTCAAATGTGTTTGCATTCTTATAATCATGTGCAACGCCACTATCTTCCAACGATTCAGATGGAAGGCATCTGTGGATTAAATTGTTTTTGAAAAGTTGAATATTTTAAATATGGTTTGTTTATCTCACATGCAATTGGAAACATTTCGAACAAATATAAGGATTTTTTTTATGATATTGATCCTACCAATTCTGAAATACAACTTACCATTTCTGAAATTGAATGGACTTTTTCTGAAATTCATCTCACCGATTCTGAAATTGAGTTTACCATTTCTGAAATCGAACTAACCAATTCTGAAATCGAGATTAGTTTTTCCGAAATATAACTTACCGATTCCGAAATTGAAGTTGAAAAGGTATAGTATCGGATTTATAGTTTTCAAAGTGTTTGATTTTGAGAGACAGTGAAATATTGGGGTGGGTCCACTTCATTTGTCCATCAGTTTATTTCTGGTTGATTTTTTTCAAATTAACAAAATACATGTTTATTTAAAAAAAACAATAATGGACATAGAAAGCCAAGCATTACTGATGAGTCAAAATAGATTTAAAAAAATCATCAAATTCCAATGAAGAATCAACTAAAAGTGAAAACCAAGGTGCAAACATAGATATTATTGTTACCCAAAAATTAGTTATTTCAATTTCAATAATGAGTCATTGAAATAAGTATAATTTTGAAAAAAAGTACCTGTTCATTTCAGACAATAATTTCAGAATATTTTAGAAAAAAAAAACCTTCAATGAGTTTCTTTATTTATTAAAATCCTCTACATTCCATGAAAATGAAGGATTCCTTCATAATTTTCACAATTGAGGTTAGAGTTTTGATTGATATTGAATATTAAAAATGGCTGTCAAATCACCTATGATGAAATAATCAAAAACAACTATTTATTTTCGTTTTTATTGATACACTGACACTGAGGAGAAATATATAAAAAAATAATGATTCAAAACATGATATATTATCCCATTCTATTATTACCAGCAGAATCAAAATGTTTCATTATTATAATGGTAATAATTCAATGTTTTTTTCCAGTCATCAACAAGTTTTCTCATCATATATGTAAAGATGCACATTATTGTACCTATAAAATCAAGTTCAACATTGTGTACTATAATAATTAAGATGTTAACAATAATTATTCAAAAATTGTTTAAATCAATGATTGCAATAAAAAACACCTTCCAGGTCAAAAATAATAATACATCCCAAACTCCAGATAGATTCCCTGTGTACCATTACAAAATCTCCTCCAATTTTCCTGGGGTAGGTAGTGGGGTAAAAATAGCATAATGTGTTTGAAATCTGAGGCATATACATGAAATTGATTTCTTCAAATTACTTAGGTATATCACTTCAAAACACCTCAGGAAACACCTTATGGTTTCAAATTAAACTATCATACTAATGACTCATTATTCTCTGCCACAAAAAAAATAGCAAAAAATGGATTGGACCCTTGATTGGCCCTCATTTCCAATCACTAACATCCCCGAAATTCTCAATTTTTTATTGAATTTCCTCAAAAAAAAAAAGGTATTTATGTATATAGATCATGTATATGAAGTGAATCATTCACTGCTGGTTCTCTCTTACCTATTACATGTCTCCTGTTTCTTAAATCAATCACATTTCATATCAATAACCTGCTTGGACCAAATAAAATAACAGCATCAAACTAGGAGTGTGTTTCAATGGTTTATAGGAATGAACAATGTGTTTATTGACGCAAACTTACCTCTTCTACCTCGCACAAGCTTGGCCTCAGCTTTCTCATCATCATTATTTTCTTGGGAAACAGATGAGCGCCTGGTTTTGCTTGGTTTGCTAACTTCTGCAGGAGGAATATTCACAGCAACAATTCTACTAGATCTTCTCAAAGGTGAGCTCACTGGTGCAGTTTCTTCTGCTAAAAGGTCAGTAGTTCGCGGCATTTTGTCTGAAGGAAAAAAACATATGATAAATCAGTCATTTTTCTCCTCATTTACTTGATTTATAACAATATAGGTAGCTATAGTGAATCGGTGATATCAGAAATTGATTAAATTGATATAAGACATAATATAGGTTCGAATTATCAATTTGAAAAAAAGTATGCAATGCAGAATAAGCAGATGAAGATGAAGATACAGTATAATCAACAGTTTATTGCTATTACTTCAATGAAAAAAGATCAAATGGCTGAAATGTAAGAGCAAAAAACACAATCCAGAAATAGATTTGCCAATATACTTTTACGTTCACTGATTACCTACCCTTTTTTTATCAGAATTATGGAAGTAAAATTCAGAACCAAACGTTAAAAAAGTATTTGAACAAAAAAACTCAACACGTGCAGTTGCACTTCGCAATTCGACTTCCACCATCTGTCAAAAATTTTGAATTTCTTACAGCTGTCTACAAAATAACCGTTAAAAAATTGACAACGTCACTCAATAATGTCAAATCTTCTTTTTATTTTTGCCTCAGCCATATAATCTCCAACACATGTCATCACTCAGGACATAACAATTCACTTTCTCCGTTGATTGATATATTACGCTAAGCGTAATATATCAATCAACGTTTTCTCCAAACATAATGAAGAAAAGAAAAGAAAAGAAGGACAATAAAAATCGAGTAAATATTGAGTTCATTGAGTAGTAGTCCGGAGTAGTCCATGATCTATCCATGGAAGATTGGAAGATAGGAAATTAGAAACAACATTTTTCATTGAATCGTATAGTGCAGAGTAGTGCATAGCAGTGCATCTGCTATCATTTATCAAGCTTGGTGCAGAGTTAAATAGCCTTGGCTTGGTGCAGCTATGGATGTGAAGCTGATGATTAGTTCTACCAACCTTCATCATTTCTACAAGAAGGTCATTCGTGTTTATGAGGGACATTTCATTCACATTACCCGTCATGGTTAAAGCTGATAATCCCATTTCATTGTTGTGTTTAACCATGACGTCATTTCCGTTTGAGTACAACTTAAAGTTGTCAACTTTCCTACCTGTCCTAGGGTTTACCGGTTTACCAACTCCATAATTCTTCCATCATTGTTTGTTGTAAAGATACATGGGTGCACTGTTTTTAAAAAAATAATTGAGTGAAATAAATTAAAATGACGTCGTTTGACCTCGATGTTTCGAAGATTCGCTGGTCTAGGTAATCGCTTGTACCCTTGATTATTTCTTGTACGAAGGGCTATAAAAATCGAATGTTAAAAATATATTTGATATGGTAGTAGATGATGGGAGATAGGACATTAGGAACATTTTTCATTGAAATGTATAGTGCAGAGTAGTGCAGATCAGTGCATCTGATATCATTCATCAAGCTTGGTGAAGCTATGGATGTGTAGCTGATGATAAGTTCTACCAACCTTGTTCATTTCTACAATTTCATGTTGATATCACAGAAATGTTTGTTTAATTGTAGATCAGAGCTTGATAGGAAAATCTACTAGAATACAGTTGTAGAATACAGATTCTCATGACTCCGAAATGAAATATTCGATGGGATTACATCGAAGTTTATTTTATACATTCATTGACATCTAGTGGTGAATATTGATAGCTTCTATTGAAAGTAAGATGCCTAGTTAAAAGACCTAGTTATAAGCATACAATAGGAAGGAAACTATTCGGTAACAGTTCATCGTTCATTCATTTGATAATAGAGGGAACCACATACATTGTTTTTTGTTTTGAAATAAATGAATTCAAGTATTTTGAGTTTTAATTCTTGATTTTGACGATTATGGCTTGTTAATGAATGGGTTTCAGGTTTCAGGTCTACTACATGAAATGTTAACGATGTTGTAAAGGATACCATATTGTTTGGATGACAATTTTACTTACATTCCAGAGGTGAAGTTTTCTGACACCTTTTCATGAGCACATTGAAATTTCCCTTTCAGAGACGTTACCTCAAAGTTGAATTATTCTCTTCAGAATTCCGTAAAGGTACCAGTTTTGACGTCTAACCAATTATTCCGAAACCTCTCCTAATTACCATCGAAAAGTGTTGTATTTCTGTGCCGAGACTGTTTACCCAATTACCTATCCACGCAATTTCATGATCTGAAAACTTTTCATCGCTGAGGTATGCCGCATTAATATAACGAGCCTTTGGCATAAAAGCCTTGTGAAAGGCAAAACGAAAAGGCCGGCCTCTCGCCATAACATCAAGGAACTTCATTTATGGAAATTCGCAGGAAACGATATACTAATTGCATAGCTCATTGTGACACCAACACTTATACAGGGTGTCCCTAAAATATGTCTGTTAAAATTCTCAGCACATATTCCTGGAGGACAAAATAACTCGATTGAAAGTAACTTTTACCTCCTTCCGAAATTGCTCCATTTTAGAAAAACAGGGTGGTAATGTTAAAAAATTAAAATCGAATTTTTCTGAATATATATATGAACGTATCACTAAAAAAATTGGCAGTCGAGGGCTTTTTGGGATGGGAAACCCGAATACGGACACATTTTCACTGTGGCCGTTAGAGGGCGCGTACAAATGCACTTCTTATGGTTTGGATTGGCCATATCTTTTTTCTCAGTGTAGTTTTCTATATTTTTTGTTAAGGAAATGATTTTCTGAATATTTTCGAGCAAAAAAGCTGCACCTGTGAAAATGCTCAATCAAGCTGTTTTCGAGATATTTCGTTTATAGTGTACGATACTTGAATTATTTTGTATAAGAAATATATATATGCTTCCATCTTCTCTGGATGTAATTTGGCCAGTAAATGAACAGTGCAAAATGGATTTTTATTATTTTAATTTACCACCCTGTACCTCGGAAACGGAGCAACTTCGGACAGAGGTAAAGTTGATTCAAATCGGCTTATTTTGACCTCAGGACTATGTGCTAAGATTTTGTAATTAACACCCTGTTACATACAGTGTGTTCACCTTAAGGACTTACCACCCCTGTGAAATCGTTATTATCCGATCATTTTCGAAAAACCGTTTTTTGTTGGATATAAAATGCCCATCCAACGAGGGAGTGATCTAATTCTTGGACTGTTATCGTGGCCAACTGCGACAAATTTCAATGATCCATATTCCAGAAAGTACTATTAGGGATTTTTTTCCACGAAACTTGATGATGGATTCTGAATCGGTACCACTTGAAATATACCTGTACCGATTTTCATCATCATAAAACACAGGGTGTCCGAAAAAACGAATCATCATTTTCTTCAAATTGGTGATCAGCAAATATAGTTCTGTGGTTTTTCTAGAAAGAAATAATCACAAATTATCACTGAGGATTATTTCAAATATACCTGTACCAATTTTCGTCATTTGCATACACAATGTGTCTCAGAAAAAAATTTAAAAGGATAGGTAAGCAATATTTTTCATCCTGATAATTCTTCACTCAAAATAACTTGGAACATACCTGTACCGATTTTCATCATCATTAAACACAGGGTGTTCGAAAAATAAAATTAATATTTTTCTTGAGTTGATGAAAAAAATATTGCCAACTTTTTCTTTTTAATTGTTTTCTCATAATACACATCGTATTTTTGAATGATGAAAATCGGTACAGATATGTTCAAAGTGATCCTCAATAATAATGTGTCATCAATTCTTCTCAAAAATACCACAATACTACATTTTCTGATCACCTATTAAAAAAAAACATAATTCGTTTTATCGGACACCCTGTGTTTTATGATGATAAAAATCAGTGAAGGTGTTTTTCAAGTGATCATGATTCAGAATCCATCATTGTTTTTTGTGAAAAAAAATCCCTACTAGTACTTTCTCAAATATGGGTCAATAAAGTTGGTCGCAGTTGGCCACGATTACAGTTCATGAGTTAAATCACTCTCTTGTTGGATGGACATTTCAAATACCTATCCAACAAAAAGAAGTTTTTTGAAATCGGTCAGATAATAACAATTTCACAGGGGTGGTAAGTCCTTAAGGTGGACACACTAGATATAAAAAAGAATTATATTGCCATAATAATATACATTTGTGATTTGGTAATGAACTGTTATTGTTCGAAGTAGAATATTTTCACGCAGAGAGCAACGAATAGAATTTCATCGGAAACCTCTTTTTCGCATTTCCATCATTTCCTCAATTAGCGCCTCCATCGAATTTCATATGGCAGGAAAATTCGATAAACAGATTTACTTTTTCATTTGACATGGTGGGAATCTCTTTTGTTTCGACTATGACAATATGGCGCAGTTGGAATTTGGCGTTATGGAAATTCGATGCCGCCTATAGAATCCACGAATCCATCATATTCAGTGAACTGATGCATTTTTTTACGAAATATGGATATAGGCGAGTATTTTTCCTATTGCACCACTAAGCAAATTTGGAAGCTATATGTAGATGCAAGGTTTTGGCAATTACTAAAACGGACGTTCAGCAATATTGCAAATGCAGATTTGTAAATGTAACGTTCCAGCAATGTCACAGCAAAATGTAATATTGCTGCAACGATACATTATCAAACTTTACCTTTGCAATATTGCTGAACGTCCGTTTCAGTAAGTGCTTCAACTTTGCATTAACATAGCTTTCAACTTTGCTTAGTGGGTTAGTATTACGAAATTTGGTAATTTGAGGTGATTTGATCCAACAAATCCTTTCGTGGTACGGAAAACATGATTTGATATACAGGGAGAAAGAAACTCGTGACCGATGATATAAAAAAGCTCATAGTTTTTTCGTTTGGAGAGTTACACTATCACATTTCTACTACCAGAATACGATTCTTTGAACACTTTTATATGAAAAAGGTATATTCTTGTTAGATTGCCGTTATACGAACCGTTTTCGTCAAAAGGATAAATTTTCATTTTGATGCCCAGAAAAATTCACCTAGTGAATGAGTTTGTGAAATTTGAAAACTATATCCCACCTCCCTGTATATTGATATATAAACAGAGTGACCCATTTGAAAGCGAGAGCCGCCCTAATAATTTTTTTATTTATGAAGCAATTTCCACGAATTGTGTTATATTAGTCATTTTTTCTCTCTTTGCGGATTTTCTGTTCGGTCCGTCTTGTCTGGATTATTTTCTCCAATTTTTCCGGATCTGCAACTAAATATCACAAAAAGTCCATGAGAATTAAAACTGATGTTGAATCTGAAACATACCTGAATAATATTTCCATTAACCGTAACTGAATTGCTTTATATTCGCTCTCCTTCCGAATAGTGGTCTTCCCAGTAGACATCTGCTACATTTTAAATTTCGTAGGTTATAATAAGGGCCATGAATGCCAAACAGTGTGCTGCTCGGATCTAAAACTAAGCATCAATTTGAAATTTGAATCGTGAGACGTACATAGAATATAAATCTATAGTCTGGATATTGCTTTCAACATTCGTAACTGAAATGCGATATATTTTTA